CCCCAAAACCCCAAAACCCCAAAACCCCAAAACCCCAAGACTACATGTGCTAAATCTGTGAGAGATTGATAAATAAATGAAAATAAGTGGATTCGATTCATTTAAAATGTTCTTAAAATCAAAGGAGAAGATCATAGTAATAACTCAAAAGTGAGGAATGGAACATCAAGGATTAGGTGTTTAAAGAAAACTACTTAAAGCTATAGGCAGCACGTAACCTAACCTGATAGGAGAGAAGTACTCACTCATATCCCAATGAGCAGTGGTTGGCCACTACGAAAGAGATAACGAGTTACTGCCCAGCCCTTCAAACATCTTTAAATCCTTTGGCACCTTTTTGTATCCATTCGGAACTTTTAGAATTCACACAAACTTTAAATTTATTACTCATCTCTTCATTATGAGTATCCATCTTGGATATCTTATAGCTACTGACTTAATAAATTTAGTGTCAGAGATATATCATTTTCTCAGACTAGGTCGATTCTGTAGAGGGCGTAGGATTCAATGCACTCATTGAGTTGATCGGCCTGGATCATTTCTTCCATTCCTCTCTTGCTTACTCTATGAGCATCAAGAACCTTGAATAGCTTTTAGAATTAATCTATAAAAATGTCAAAATATTGTAGTTTTGCAAGAATAAATAATTCTATGAAGAAATCATACCCTTTTGTCTGTGATCTCTGTCTTAAATGAGTATCATCTTTTGGGAACCAGCCTTCTCAGCAAAGTTAACAAGATTCATGAAGATGGACTTGGTTAGTTTCTCAATGCTAACATCTCCGAGCCAGATATAGAATCTCTTTGATTCTTCATCTTGCATGCATGGGAAGCTCCAGTGACTCTTTGATCCGTTGAGACCAACTCTAGAATCTAATTCAAAAAGCTTAGCCTTGTCCTCAGATACCTTAATGATCTATTGAATTCTCTTGCATTGATCTAATGAAGTTTTAAATTAAATTATATACCAAAACCAGCAACATCTTCATCAGTTGAAGCTGAATCATCAGATGATAAGTCAGCGGCCATAGGTGATGCCAACTTGGATAGTTCATCCTTTTGAATAAAAGTGTTGTTTCCTTCACCTTGGAACCACACGTTTGTTTAACCAACAATAAAAGCAAATGTTGATCTATAAAGCATTGATGAAATGTTTGATAACAAATTGGATACTTTTCTGATTAGTATTATGTTGTATCTTGTAGTAGTGTTTGGTCTTGCATTGTTGTTCTCAAGTTATTGAAAATACGAGCGAGTATATTTAAAATTATAATCTTATAAAAATATCTTCAAAGCACTATGTTTGTTATAACTTTAGATTATTTCAAAGGGGTTTTGGGGTTTTGGGGTTTTGGGGTTTTGGGGTTTTGGGG